AAGAACTGCGGATGCTGTGATTCAGGAACAAAAACAAAGTTACTGGAAAAGCTCAGCAGATCTGGTAGCATCTGTGAAGGCAAAAACAGAGTTAACGTTTCGAGTCCGGTGACCCTTCCTCATAACTCTGATTTCTCTGGGATTTGAGTCTCTGTAATAGATGGTTTTGGGAAATAGGTTAAAACATTGTACGCTGACGTTTCGGGTCTGGACCCTTCTGAAGGGTCCAGACCCAACACATCAGCTTTCCTGCTCCTCTGATGCTGTTTGGCCTGCTGTGTTCATCCAGCTGTACACCTTGTTATCTCAGATTCTCCAGTATCGGCAGTTCCTACTACCTCTAAAACTTTGTACAGATGTTTTCGTTAAGATCTGTCTTATATAGCTCTGCCTTCTACTATGTTATCAACTGATGTTCTGTTTACGTAGCCTCATGTGAATATATTTCAATGACTAACAACCATGTTAACTAACTGTAAAAATGAAATAAACATCTATAAAGCCAGGTTTCACTCTGAGAGCTGAATTTTCCAATCTTACCATCAGTTCGGATCATAACACTGTCTATCATATACCGTTTCCGCAGTTTAACATGCAAGTAGCTGGTTCCCTCACCACCTGCCACAGAGCCAATCTAGCAGCTGTGTCCTTTAGGACTTGAACAATTTGGTCAGTAGAAGTGTTTCTTGAATGAATATTATTAGCAGCTTCTGGGAACTTGGAGCAGAAGAGGACTGAACAAAAAACTAGTGCAAATTAGTATCATTTTATTAACTATTAAACAATACACTGAAACAGGGCAGAGAAGTTCATGGTTCCTTATCTCTTCATCCATCGAGTCTCAGTTCTATGTGACCTGCATGTGATCCAACATCACTAATGTTAACATCAAATACAGCTAATAACCCCAATCATATATTGAACTATTTGCAGTTTCATCCTATTCCCATTTCCACCACCCTACTTCCCCACCACATCCCACCCAATTCTCTTTCACCACAGGCAACAACTTGCAGAAGGTTCGCTGCTCTTTTGGAGGATGTGTAGGATGTACATGCTGCCTTATTCTCACCTGGGAAAGGCAAACGCATTGGCAGAATAAGCTCACAGCATGTAATGACTGCTGGTACTTGAGCTCTGACAATTATGACAATCTCTTTCTCCTTCTCTGTAGTGCTCAGATTTTCTTCATAGAAAGGAATACCTGTATTTGATTTCTGTTGTTGCAGTTACAGGTCATTGGTGGTTTCAGTGGAACAAACAGACAAGTTCACTTCTTTACCACCTTCAAAAAGCAGTTGGTTCCCTTGAATGAGACAACAAAGCATTCAGCATTATTAGTGCTGTCATCAAAGAGTATTGTGAGATCCAGGACCTCTACTTTCAATAAATCATCAGCATCAATGACAGCTTCATTCCCTTCTGCTCTTTTCTGAAAATCAAGGTCTAAAATGTCATCCTGCCTTAATTTGGTGCCATGTGTTCCAAATACTTCTAAACTCTCCTCAAAGTGAATCTGCACTATCCTCCTGTGGTCACAGGGATGAAGGTTCTTCTATGAAGATTGATTCTGGATTAGCTTCAATCTCTGCTGCAGCTGGTAAATAAAGAAGATTCAAAGCTATACAAGTATTTCTATTTAACAAAGAATAATATTGATAGGGAAAGATATCATTATGTCAACAATGTCTCTTTTTCATTATAGTGGAATGTAGCCTGCATCTGCCATCATGCTGTTATTGAGAAATACTGAGGTTGTAGGCAAGATGGTTGGTGAAATTCAGGCTTCCACAATGCTGCATCTGAATGAAGGTATACACTTACTCCTGGATCCACACCCGAAACATCAGCCTTCCTGCTCCTCTGATGCTGCTTGGCCTGCTGTGTTCATCCAGCTCCACATCTTATTATCTCAGACTCCAGCATCGGCAGATTCTACTACACCTGAGACTGCAGTTGAACCCAGGTCCCCGGTGCTGTGAAGGAGCAGTGCTAAACACTGAGCCACCATGCTGTAACAGGATGGTGATGGTGGTGTCTGCAATATAGTCAGACTCACAAAATCATACCTTTTAGATAATGTCAGGCTGAGTAATCTGACAGACTGCTCTCCCAAATTTGGCACAAGCTCACTGATGATAGTACGGAGCACCTTTCAGGATCAACAAGTCTGAGTCTGCTCTTGTCATTTTTAATGCATAGGTCAATGCTGAGGTGGTCTGCCTTATTTCCATCTAGGTAACTGCACACTACAATAAAAGTGTTGGTCCAGATTTTTGAATTATTTTTCCAATAGTACATCCACAATGCTATCAATTCCTGATTGGAAAATTGTAAATTTGTGTTCCAAGAACTTGAATCATTAAGCTCTGATTTATGCAGCCATGTCCTCAGACTTGCAACACATAAAAAGTGCTTCTTGACTGATGTTAATGTATTCTGGTATGACAGAAATGTCGCCTTCAGAAGGCAAACTAACTTTTCTGAGTCTCTGCAATTGCTCAGTGAAAGGGTAATTTATTTACACCAGCTCTCCAAGGAGAAACGGATGAATAACTGGATGTGGATTCACAATTCTATTAGAAGCTTTTAGTGAAATCATGCAAATAGAATTTATGACCTGTGAGTGGCTGGGGCTGCTCTGGTCAGATAAATGATCTTTTATGATAATCTCTATTACTTGAAATTAGTAGAAAGGGAATTATCAGGTACAGCGATACATTTAGAAAGATGACACCATGTATATGATTCACTTAGTTTCAGATTGACACCAACAAGTTACAATTACACTTTCAACATTAAAGTTACTTCTTAGCTTCTAATTTTATCTCAAAAGATAAAACAAAAAAGAATAATTTTCTCTCCCCATTGTTTCCAAGACAGTCCATAATCATTTTGCACATGAAACGAAAGGCACCAACACAACCAACTGATGACATCATTTAACATACCAGGGTGCGACATGTGACACCCACAGGTCGATGAGAGGGATAAAAGGAGGATGCTAAAAGAGGACAGAGGCTGAGATGTTAGAGAGAGAATTCCAGAGCCACATGTCCAGTGTTGAACCGTGAAAATCACAGGTATACAAGGGTCAGAGTTGGAGAAGCACAAATAACCTGGAGGTTTCCAGGGCTGGTGGAGATGACAAAGATAGGGAGGAACACAGGTATAGAGATAGGGAGGGACACGGTTACAGAGATAGGGAGGGACATGGTTAGAGAGATGGGGGGGACACGGTTACAGAGATAGGGGCACGGTTAGAGAGATAGGGAGGG